CCAGGGATTGACCTAGTCTATGCATACACTTACAAATAGGGGGCAGCTTCTGTGACAACATGTGTTTAAAATCATGTCCTCGGTACGTGCATGTATGCCAGCAAAGGAATGAGAGAACAGCATACTCATCCAAAGTAAAATCCACTCCAGGCTAAAGCACAGAGGGCTATTCTTGAGGCTTCCCCTCTCCAAAGCAAACAGGAGCATTCCTTGTTTTCCCTTGTTTATTTAAAAAGCCCACTACACATTCCTGGGCACTGGCCTATCCTGAGCCAACCATGGGATAAGAGCTTCTACGCTGTAAATCCCAGGTAGAAATTGGTCTAACTTGGGAACAGCCTAACAACTGCTACTTTCTGATGGTCGCTTAGTGGTCTGCAAAGCGCACCACAAATCTCAAGAGACTTGTTTTCACATCATTAAAGCCACCCTCAGAAATGGCCTCCACGGTGACAGTTTTAGCATAAAAACTGAAGGGCCGTCCAGAGAGCTGCCGCAGGAGCATGTCAGAGGCGTGCGGCCACACCAAGCAGGTCCATCCAAGCCATACCTGCTTGGAGAACATGAACTCCCAGGCTCCAGCACTTCTATCCAGCCACATCTCATTGGCTTAAATCTTTGCTCCCACAGGGTATGAAAATACTGTTGTGGCAACCATCAGAGACGCCCTGGCCAACTCATCCAGAAGGGGGACACCACCATTATGCCTCAGGGCTGCAGCAAAACCATTTTAAGGCTCCCAGAGAAAGAAGATTAGAGAAATGAAGCTGCAGCATGAGCAAGTTTGCATCCAGGCAGCACCAGGGAAGAAGTCTGTTGTTACCTCTGATGTCTGGTCACCATAAGCCACTTTTTAACTTTACCAGGAAGGAGCCCTGCAATACCACTTAAGACTTTAAATATGGAGCACAACAGGGTTTGAGAGCAGGGTGTTCATTTCTCCATCATGAATGAGAGCAAAGACGTTTTCTGCATGGGACAAGGCAATTGGACATGGTATTTTAGGAATCACATGAAGAATTTCTGAATTAGAAATCAAGCACTTAGGTATAGCTTTCCTGGTCGCGTTTTCTACTCCAGGCAGACAAAGAAGAAAACAACCAACCCTTTATCTCCGCAGCAGCGAACTTTCAGTCTCCCGTACGCATGTGAAAGAATTGCCTGGGAAACAAGCACACAACAATGTTGTGGTCAGACTTTAAAAACAAAATCCAATTCAACCAGAACGCTGCAAGGTTGCTTTTGCCCTTTTCACGAAGGAGCTAAATTCAGTGGCACACAGTAGACAGAGCTGCCCAGCAGAGCCTCCCCCTTATTTGTTATTTTTAGCAATTTAGTCTGACAACGCCTGACAACTAAACATACAGAATATAGCAGGAGAGAAGGGGACTATCAGATGCTATCAGAGAAAACACACAGTGATAATCACTTGCTCCACCCCTAGTGAAGAATCAATTTTCCATGTCTTTATAACATCATAGAGTTTGTTCTTTTTAAAATGCCACATTTAAAAACAGAATCCATCTAGCCCTACAATGGAAACGGATAACATTTCCTGAAACAAAGCATTGTTCCACCCCTCACATATCATGTTTCCTTAAAAACAAGGGAAGAAAAACATTACTTGCTTTTTCTCCTAATACTGCACAAACATTGCTGAGCTAAAAAGAGTCTGTGCTCATCCCTTTAGAATGCTTTCAAAATAGATTTAACACATACCCCTCATACTGTGAAACACAACAAAAATTTGATAGTATCAGGACTGGAAAAATCCAATTGCCACTGCTAAGCAGGACGCTTCCCATGCCAGCATGTGAGTGAGCCTACGCCATCAATCTCTGCAAGATTCAAGCAGGTTTCTGTAAGCCTCACTGGCACAGCTTTTAAGCAGACGTGTATTTTGCCAGCAAGCCTGGGCAGTCTATTTGGATTCCAAAGGATTATATACAAGTTGTGAAGTTAAGAATGCTACATATGTACATATATATATATTCACATTCATACCTTAGCTGTAACAAGAAGGGTAAAGCTACCCTGCTTTTTCCACAGAGTAACTGACAGGCTATGCATCTGCCCCTTCCTACACATCCATACCCTCTTTGGTGTTTTCAGAACACAGTTCCTCTCACTAAGTACACCCAATGCGTATTCCAGCCAAGCCTTATTTTCACAGCCCTGTACCAAGACAGGTCTTGTTCTCCTTGCTGCTTTGCCACGCAATGAGCAGCAGGGAGGACCAAAACAGCAGTATCACATCAATTTTGTGATACTGCCTTGAAAAAGGCAATGCAGTGCTTCAACAGCAGAGGAACCCAAGAGATGGGAGTGAGGGAAAGGGAATAACTGCAATCATGTGTTGCAGTGAACATTATCAGAGGAGGGAGAAAAGAAGCTTTCAAACCAGACGCAAAACCCCTCACTGTTTTTAAAGTTCAGTCTGACAGCTGTGAATGTCAGAAAATCCAGCTCACACCTCTGAAGCAGGTTAAAGCCCACACCTTCACAATCAGCACTCGGGAGCTCTCCTTGCTGTCCAGCTGGATAGATTTACAGAAGAGCTCAGCCATGAACCCAGCCCTCTGCAAACAGCACCAAACTAGCAGCAAGAGCATTTCTCAAATTCACACTTGTATCAAAAACACACATTTCACAATACCTTAAAAATAGCATCATAATAGCAAGGCATAATTGTTTCAAGCTCACACTACATGAGTAAACAGACCAGTCACACCGTATGGATACTGGAGGATTACTCTGACCAGCTTGATTCAACTATGCAAAGTAAGAAATGTGATTAAATAATAAGGTAGTTAACAATGTAAAATATAAACCTAAGCTTTAAAATCCTTCCAGTTCTAATAATGGATGGAGGGAAGTTTTAACCTATCTTGGTTTGATATTTATTTTACAATGATGCAGTGGAAGCACAAGGTCACAAAGTTTCACATTCTTTCCTGCTTCTGTCACGACTTGTTTTCAGGAGAGTGAAATCCCCTACTCCTGTGATAAGTGCTCTCCGACTTGGACTCAGGTATTTTCCCCAAAATCTCAGTTTCCAGCAGTTAGTCTAAGAGCTTGTCCTCTTTTTCACAGAACTGCCGGCCAGCCGGAAGCACAGTAGTTAAAAGACAGACTTGAATGTTCACTTAAAACAAACTGTTTAAAAAAGTTTTGGCAATCTGAGCCCTACTATCCATGGTTAAAAAGAGAAACCAATCCATGTGGCAACCACCTCTCCACCCCCACCACCTTTTGAGACAATCACCATTGCTGGGAACTTCAATTCAGTGGCCATAACCAGAGACTCAACCAACAGGGAGCTACGAAGCAGAAAAACACATCTGCAAAGCAGCCAGTTCTAAGGCTCTGTGTACGAACAGTTATAATTTGGGGGGAATTCCATCCATTCTGCCGAACTCAGCAACTGGAAAGTTCAGGAGGTAAGATTATTCCCCACCAGCAACAGGAAAAAATCAAGATGCACAGCTGAAAGGCATAGTAGCCAAAAAACTGACCACAGCCCGATGGACCTGGCAGTAAGGGACCCAATGGGCAGGTTATAAACAGAAGCTGTCAACCAGGCTCCAATCACTTCTCAGTCCAGACATGCTGCTATGAAGCTCTACAACCCCAGTGGCAGGGATGTCTTTGCGCAAAGCCACTGGCATCTGGGATGGCTCCACTGTAGCCAAGATACACTCTTATCACATAACCATAAAAACGACTGTGTCTTGTATGCGTTAACACCCCCTTAAATATATAGCCTGGCCACAGAATACTTGTTTTCCCTGTGCAGAAAAAGTTCTCATGGCCAGAAACACAAAATCCCTTAGTGCCTGGAGTGTTTTCTGTGACCAATAACACAACATATGGTGATGCGCTTGCCCTACAGCTCCCCAGGCACACTGAGTTTTAAGAAGGAAATAAAAAAAAAATACAAACTCTACTTCTACTTTAGTGTAAGTAAGAGACAACAGAGACAGAACTGCACAGGTCTGAGTAGGTTTTAGCACTGACTTCCCGTTCCTGCTTGTCTCTACTTAGCTGGTCTCCACTCTCTCCAAAACACTAACAGATGAGATAAGCAGCTTGACTTAATTTAGTCTTTGCTTTCTCTGTCATTCCCCAACACCCAAGGAACAGGGGGTTGTATTAATTATATTTTAGGGGCAATAAGAAAAAAAACCAAAACACTAATGCCCTTGGAAAAGTACATTGTGAACATCTTCTCCAAAGAACTGTAAGCTGTACATGTAGCCACCAGAAGACAGTCAAGATTCACTAGATAACTTGTTTGAACGCTGGAGCTTGTGGAGACACTACTTTATATTTCCTAGATATTCTTCTCTGCCTTGAATACTCCAACCAGATAAACATAAGAACACAGAAGTGCTCTGACTACATTGTCAAAACAAAGTCTCATCTCCCCATAGATCTGGTCTTCAACAGCAGCCACAAGTAGATGCCTAGGGCAGAGTGTAAGGACAGGGCAGGCGTGTACGGTACTTCCTCCTCATACTTTCCCAGCCTCCAGACATTTTTAGCTCAGGGACTTCCTGAGCAGGATGCCATTTCTACATATTTGGTAATTCTCAATGGATTTCTCTTCCATGAATTTGTGCAATTGTCCTGAGCCAGTGTAAACTTTTAATATCCGCGGCACTGGCAAAGTTTCACATCACCTATTTGCTACAAATAACCACGCAAACATCCTTTTTCTAGTTTTAAACCTTGCTCCTACTAATCTTATCTGAATCCCTCACCCCCAGTTTTCATCTCAGGACACAAAGGGAACAGTCAATCTCTACCGGGGTTGTAGATCTAGCAAAGAAACCAAGTGACATGAATTACTTGTAGGTTACTTCTTACAGGTGCTATGTTTCACCTAGTTACAATCCTTTGGAATGAAAAGTACCAGACAAAAACAAGGGATTTGGCAAACAGCATCTTGTTGTCCTTCAGTGTTCTACTTTCATCATCGTTACCTACCAAAAACTTACCTCTAATTCCTTAATTTTCTCTTCAGCTACTCTCTGTTTTTCTAAAAGCTGATTGTGAATCACTCCTTTAGACTGAAGAATAAACCTGAAAGTGAAAAAGAAGAGACAGACAACCGTTGGATACTTTTTACATCTGTGGTACACCTAGCTGCACACCAAGTTAAACTACAGTGACCTCTGCAAAGTATTCATCCTCAACCTGCATGTTCTGGACAGAGGCAGGAGAAATTGCTATGATAGCTCACACAAACCACTGAGCTGGCCTCAAAGGCTTGCTCACTAGTCTCACCCAGGATTTGGGAGAAAGAAAATGGAGGCGCACAGATCTCCCTCTATCATTGAGTGTCCTTGAATCATCTGAAAGCAGTTCTTGCACAGAGCTAGCAAGGGGAGTCTGTCAGCACATTCCCTTCAAAGGGATCTAAATCAGTTAATGGCATATAGCCAAGGAAGCCTCTTTCAACAGTAAAAGCCATTTTAGTGCTCACAAGCTAAACAAACCTGCATAATAAAAACAAAGCTTTCTACTGAGAAAGGCTGAGAGAGTTGAGGTTGTTCAGCCTCGAGAAGGCCCCATGGACACCATACTGCAGCCTGTCAATATATAAAGACATATATATAAAGGCTTATAAGAAAGACAGGGAGAGACTTTTCACTAGGGCGGGTAGTGACAGGACCAGGGGCAATGGTTTTAAACTGAAAGAGGGCAGGGCTAGATTGGACATAGGGAAGAAATGTTTTACTGCGAGGGTGGTGAGACACTGGCCAAGGTTGCCCAGAGAAGCTGTGGATGCCTCATCCCTTGAGGTTGGATGGGGCTTTGAGCAACCTGATCTAGTGGGAGGTGTCCCTGCCCAGACCAGGAGGGTTGGACTGGGTGATCTGTGATGGTTCCTTCCAACCCAAACCATTCTGTGTTTTGATGATACAGAGCCAGGTGCTTCCACCAGAAACACAGAGCTACGGTACACCTGCCCTTACTTGAGCTTTCACAGCTCCCACTGCTCAGGGCTTGGCTTTAACCCTCATTGACCTCCAAATTCCCATGCTTTCTACATTCAGAGGGGTTTTCTGTGGGATGGGAAGTGGTCATTTTCAACTGAAATTGAAGGCACTGGTTTCCACCTGTTCTGCCTTTTAATTACCAAAGGGATTTGAAAGATGTATCCATAACATGTCAGTTATAGCAATCCTGCTCTCCAGCATGCAAAAAGCTGCCTGACTTGCTCAGAAGAGCCTCTGAAGCAGCACCAGCATCCAAAGCAGCTCTCCAGCATGTGGCACTGGCATCTCACAAAGAGGTAAAGGACAACTAAGTTCAAGCGAACTTTAGGAACTCTCCATGGTTGTTTTTCATCCTTGCAGACATCAATGTACAAGCTGCAGATTTGTCCCACCCCTACTTAGAAAGTCCCACAGGGGATTTAGAAGGAGCCTCCACATGCCATACCAACGAGGTCAAGGTCTCTCTCCAGCACCAACTAGGGTCAATGTCTTCTTGCCAGGTGACAAGAGCTCATGCTTGAACAGTTAAAATGAGCAGCTTTAGACAGGGCAGAATAAGAGTGCATTCCCTGTCTGCTACAGAAAAATCTGTAATCAGTTGGTAGTGCCATCTCCCATGACAAATGACATTATTAACGTGTTTGCTCAGGGCCTGGTAAACACAAATGCGGATCTGCCACTTCTCTTGAAACCCAGCATACTCTGTATCAGCAACACAACAGCCAAAAGGAAAACTACTTGCCACATGCATTCCTGAAATGCATGGGAGCAGAACTGTGGTTAATTATAACAGGTTTCCAATTAAAACTTTCTTTGGTGCTGCTATTAACTCTGCTTAGCAATCAATTCCTCCTCCTCCCACTTCTCTCCCTTGTACCGCTTCATCTCCACTTTTCTATGGAAACTTTTGCTACATCTTTTACGTTGCAATTTTCTCAAATCTCTCCTCGTTTCTTCCCAGTCTCAGCTTGTGCTTATTACTGGTGTCATCTTTGTTCTATATCTGCTCCTGTTCTTTACAGCACAGCTCACTCATACTCTCTTTATCCCCTCAATCCCCCCTTTTCCCATTAGGTGCCCCCACAATCCACTTTCACACAGTGTTTTCAGGCCCCAGCACACACCAGCCTGCTGAAATAAAATGCAGGTTGTGCTCAGTCTCATGAAAATCAAGTCCATGACCACCCTTCTAGGAAAGAGAAGTTATTTACATTGCTATTAGATGCAGAGCCTGGATCCAGACAGACAGACTACTTTTCAGGACCACCAGCAACCACGTCATTCTGACGCTCTTACCTTGAGCCTGCAATACCAGAAGAAACAAACATCAACCTTCACACAAACACCCTATAGATTTTGGAGTGAAGACTAAAATTTTGTCTTGCTTCTGCAGTAGCTGCTATTAGTGAAAAATCAGAGCTGCAAGATGCCCTCAGTAAACAAAGCCATCAGTCCTTTCCCATGTCACAGCTTCCCTGAGCCTGTGTGCACATATGAACGTTTCCTTAATTATTTCCTTTTTCTGTGGAGGCAGCAAAGAACAAGAGAATACCTTCTCATTTGCTTCCCCAAATTATATAGCAAGATGCATCATTTTGGTTTCACTGATGCCCCTAGACTAAGAAAAAAAGTTAAACACCAGCACAGCTTGATCAATTTTCCCCATGCTGCAGCTGGGATTGTCCCTGCTGGGCTCCAGGCACTGAGCAATCCTGACTGGCTGAGAACCACTATGGGCACTAAAAGCACTGAACAAACAAGTGGCTGACTTCACTTCTATTCTGCAAATGTCAACAGCAGTCATCGGGGAAAATATCCTCCCTCCCACCCTCCTGTAATGCTCTGGCAGATATGCGACAGCAAATTAAAATTGGATAGCCGAAGTTAGCACTGACGAGACTTATGCAGGCAGCTGGACACAAATACAACCACCCCAATTTTATTTGCCATAAAACCATGGGCTGGAACCTGTGTCCATTCACACACTGGCTCAGAAGCAGATCAAGTGTGCCTGACTTGGCCAGCAGCATCCTTCAGAAGGTCTTCACCAGTACCGGGTTCAAACCACCCATTTTAATTCCCTGCCACAAGACCATCAAGCCCTCAGCCTAAAGAGCACAGGTGTAAGCTGTCAAAGGACAGTTTTCTGAAAGTTGAAGCTATAAATTCACACCCACAGTTAATTATTTAAATCTGTGGCTTCACTTCCCAACATAAGGAGGACTCAAAAAAACTCATCAGTGTTTTAGCTTCTAGCTTGGGATACCCACATTACAGAGACCTTGGCCAAAACTTTTTACCTAAGGAAACAATGTTGTTTACGGCAGCACTTGGAAAAAGTAGAAGCTTGTTCTGCTCGTTAGGTAAGAGGTGCTGAAGGGCACTTGTAATAAACCAGAGTTTAAATTTAATCTGGATTTCATTCTTCCAATTACCCTAAGTAAAACACCGACTTGATGGTTTGGGGTTGTTTTTTTTTTCCCCTCACCAAGCTGGAGAAATTGTCATTCTGCTGCCTGGTTTTAGTTAAATGAGATTAATTTGTTTATTAATTTTTAAGCTCATGGAAGAACCATGGGAGGTTCTCAGGACTTAGTTCTTCCCTGAGTGAGTTTGTGAACAAGTCTTTTAAACACATGAACTTCATTCACTGCCTGGAGGTACACCTATAGCTGAGAACTGGCCCCACATCAGAGTCACTGCATTACAGAGCTGAGGAGCCACTTTCTGCTCTGTGACGCACAGTCTGGCAGATGACATGGCTAACACCAACCCCTTGGTGCAGATCAGCACCAAAGAGCTACCTCCACAGAATGCTCTGCCAGAGTCCACCATAGGAGGCTCCAAGCTCTAAGAGTTTGTACACTGAACTGGGATGGCTTTTAAGTATTGATAGTCCACAGAAGACAAGCAGCAAACCAAATCCTCTTCCAGATAAGCAAGTTCATTTCTTGAAGTCTGCTTTCTTTTGGTGAAGCGTCACAACACACACTAACAGATCTGTCAAACACAACACCTGCACTATCAAACATGAAACAATGATTCAGAAAAATGTTCAGCACCACAGAGGCAATTAAAAAGCTTAGCAACCTCTTCACACAGGAACTTTTTCACTGTTGTTAAGTAACACCAGAAGTATCTGGGTCAGAACAGACAAGTTCACCACATCTCAGGTAGCCACCCATTTCAAAGAAAATGGCTAGTAAAAACAGAGCAGGATTTGCCCTATTCCTAATACTTAGCAATTTTTCCAACATCCACAGATAAACGTGAAAACTCAAAACAAAACAAAGAAAATTAGAGAAGAAAGCTACAAAGGACTGGGGTCCTTGAGGACAACTACATTCAGCCAAAGCTGGGCTGCCAACAAGAGCATCTCTGTGACAGAGCGAAGTGTTTGCAAATTGGCTGTACCTACGTGCTCTAGTCTCCTGGTGACTGCTGGTTCTCAAGTGCAATACAAGGAACAAAAATAGAGCACCAGGGAACTGAAAGAGAAACCTCACTCTAAATATTCCCACTTGTTTCTATTTTCCTCCCTCTGTTAGCTCCACATCGGGGGTTTTGTTTCCCTAAGGCAGGGAAAGCGGTTTATATACTCTCTCTGAGAATCATTGCTTGTTTCCTTCTGAGGGGATCTCTTACCCCTTCCCAATTATAAATTTCTAGATATGGTGCCCATTTGATCAGTGTTTATACAGCACTCCCTTACGCCCTGGTCAAAACGGTCTACAGGCTCTAGTCAGGCTGGCCAACAATGTTGTCAACTTCATCATCTGTCTGCTCTTTTGTGTCACACACACACCCCCCCACAAAGTGATGTTCGTACAGTGTAACTAATTCCATAACTCAGTCTGTTTGCACCAAAATGTACTGTTTACTTGACTTTAAGACATAATATTAGATACTGAAAGATTCGCCTCTTAATGAATGAGGTTATGGAGATGTTTGTTCATCACACGCCACTCTTCATTATGACATACAAGTCATTAAAGTTAAAAGGTGGAGTACCAGTGATGCTCATAGTTAAGGTTTTCCATTAAGAACCCCTATTTTCAATTACTTACAACTGCAACCAAC